AACCCCCAAATCCCACTCCTGGCTGACCCCGCTCACCCCACCCCTCCCAGGAGTCTCCACGCAGCCTATTTTGCATGCAGGTTTGTTGAAGGTGTGCGCGGAGGCTCGGGGAGTGTGAAAAATGTGCCCGTTTCTGGCCTCCAGAGCCTAGGGAGGCCGTTTTCGCCCTCCTGGAAGCTAGAGGAAAGCCACCGGAGCCTGGGTAGGGCAAAAAGCGCTCCCCTCCCCCCGGCCATCGTGCAGGAGGTTGACTAGGCCACGCCCACCATGGCCACACCCACCCAGCAACTGGGCGGAAAACCCCTTGCTAAAAATTTTGAAGCCCACCCCTGATTAAGGGGTTACAGGATCATAAAAAGGAGCTTACCATGGTCTGCGCAGTTCTTCCTACCTGTGGTAGAATCTCCAGCTCGAGTGGGGAGAGAAAAGACTGCTGAGCTCAGGGTCCTTGCAGGGAAGAAAATGATGGAAATCAGAGAGCCCATCCCACCTCCTAGAATCCCCGAATTCTTTACCTGGCTGTTCCCAAGAAAATGTGGTGAGATTCTTGTAAATAGGCAGGCAGCAATAAGGAAGCAGCTCTGATCAGCTTAAGGTTCCGTTTGGGTTCCTTGTGCCTGGCCTACACTTTGATGATCGTTCTCAGAATTTCATGGGCTCCTAGGAGCAAGAGGAGAAAGATATCCATTAGCCTTGGCCAGTAGTATTTGTCAAGAAGATCTCCAATGGCTTGAGTACAGGTAGTCCTCAACTTACAACAGTTTTCAAAGTTACAGTGGCGCTGAAAAAAGTGACCGTTTTTCAGAGTTATACATTCTCAGCATTCCCCACAATCATGTGATCAAAATTCAGATGCTTGGGAACTGACTCACATTTATGACCATTGCGGTGTTCCCAAAAGGATCCCCTTTTGCAACCTTCTCACAAGCAACGTCAACGGGAAAGCCAGAATTCACTTAACAACCGGGTTACTAACTTGTCAACTGCAGGGATTCACTTAGCAACGGAGGCAAGGAAACCCATAAAATGAGTGCCAAATTCACTTCACAATTGAGCTCAATTGAGGACTACCTGCATTCTCAGTTTACGTATCTTGTTTGAAAACTCCTGTATCCCGAATCTACTTACGGAGACGTTTCCTTCTTTCGCTTCAACCTGTCTTTTGATGAGTCTTCTCCCTGTTGTGCCATTCTCTTCTTGGGTTATTCCAGTTTTCCCTCAAATCGTTACTTATGGTGAAGTTCCACATGCATTGACGCTACCTCTGCACTCCGGGGTTGTGACAAACTATGGCACGTAGTATTATACCTAGATGTGAACAAATGAGAAACAAAGCTCGTTTTCCTTACTTATACCCTGTTTTCCCGAAAATAAGACCTCCCTGGATAATAAGCCCAATCGGGTTTTTGAGCGCATGCGCTAAAGTAAGCCCTCCCCGAAAATATTGCTACACAGTAGCAGCCATGAGGCGACCACGCTCGCCAACTTATGCACCTCAAAAATAATAAGACCTCCCCGAAAATAAGGCCAAGTGCTTATTTTGGGGATCAAAAGAAAATAAGACCCTTATTTTCAGGGAAACATGATATTTGGAAGCTGCGTGGCTACATCTGACGGTAATAAATCATCCAAAGTTTCCATTATTTCCTGAATTTCCCCCCCCCC